GTTCGAGGCAGAGGGCAGGCTACTGGCCCTCAGGTGAATCACCATTACTAGGTGCATCACCATCACCCACAGTTGTCAGGGCTTCTGACAAATCCTCAAAGTCATCTTCACTATCACTGGCAGGCTTGGCTGTGGTGGGTTGGCCGAAAAATCTGTTATCTTTGCTGATGGCTGAATGTTGATGTTGTAGAGTGATACTACCTTGATGTAGGGCTCCATAGTCTGCAACAGCTGGAGTGGTGAATTTCATACCTGTTTGCGTCAGAGTCGTCGAGGAAAGGAGGAGCTTAGCTTTCTCGATACACGCTGCTTTGGATGTATACCACCTGCTTACTCTTCACTGGCGTCGTCATCATCATGTACCATCTACCGATAGTCATCGGGTTCGTATCACCTCCATGATGTAAGTAGATTTGGTGGTCTCGGAAAGCACGGAACGCCAACAGTCCTGCGCAGCTTCTCTGTAAGATCCGCTGCTACTCCAACAGTCTGAACCTCACCAGTCACAGATTGACTCCTCCTCTCACCTGGTATTCCATGCAATACATGTCTTTCCATGCGTGGCCAATTGTAGCAATAGACAGCTGATCCCATGACTCCACCAAAAGTCCACAGCTTTCTTGATGTTTAAATACTCTCCAGAATTGTTTGAACAGTATTTTTTGCTGTGCCAACTGTTGATCCTCATCTTCTTAAGCTCTTGCTATCGGTGGTGGTGTCACTCAGGTTCACGCAGATCTTCCCTGGGTATTTCGGTGTAGTCGTTCAGGAGTTTGAATTTTTTAGTAGAGAATGCAGCTTTACGTACAAGATTAACTCTTGGTCATGGGCTTGTAATGTATAGGCGTAGTGTTGGGAGGAAGGAAGACCCTCTCTTCGTTGAGGTGATGATCTAACAGTAAGGCGAGTGTCCTGGTGCGTTGTCCAGCAACAACCAAATCTGAATGGCACATTCTGTCGCTCCTGAGGCCTATTTACATCAGGGAACAAACAGTCATCAAACCCCAGGAGAGGGACAGTGTGAAGAACATCCGCCTTCGTCACGGTCAGCCAGTGGACATTTAGCTTGGTCATGTCCATGGTTTTGTAGTGATGCGACTTCGCGTGCTGTGGATCACCGATAACTGAGCTTACAGGTACCGGAGGCATTGAGTAAACAGAGGTGATGGTTCCTTCTGCATCTTCGGCCCGAAGATCTTGCTGGCATTCTTTACAACGAAGGACTTGGAGGTTGCTTTTTCCAGAAAAGACCAGATTCGTTCATATTAAAACACCTGGTGATGCTGTGCTGTCCTTCCTCCATAATCTCACGTAAAAGCAGAGGAATTCTAATGCATATACGGTCAGCACTTAGCTTCTTCACCACCAATGTTTATATTGGTGATCTTGTTCGGATCTTAAACCTCTCTGTAACCACCCAGAGGAAGCATTAGGGTTTGGGCTCTGTGTTCCAGCCTTTTCATGCCACTGCAATGTACAGTTCAACGTCGTACTCATAACAAGCTGGCGTGTAAAACGCCATGTTCGTCGTACTTTGTGGCACCAAAGTACCCTCTAAATGGTTTTCCTGTCTTGAGAAGCACCTGGTTGTGAAAATACTTGATCATAAAGCACCTGTAGACTTTGTGATCTTCATGTGCTCCTTTATCTTAGCTGTCCTTCTTTATTGTTGAATCGTGATTCATTCACACCATGCTAGCCGCAGCCAAATCAACACTTGTTCCTTTCTCCAACTCTTGGATGATGGTATACTTCACCTCGTAGCAAAGGCGTAGTGTCTTCTTTGGCTTAGTGCGCTGGGTCAGGTAAGGAAAGGTTTCCTCTCTGGGGGTGAGGTACAGTCGTGAAAACGCCATTTGAAACAATGGATGCGTTTACACGGTCTGGGCGTGGAGGGATAGAAACTATAGTAGCGGCTAGGTTCAGGGTGCAGTGCTGCGTCCTCCCTCCTCCCCGGGTGGACATGTCATAATACTTTCATGGTACACCTAGCAGCAGGGGGGTAGGGATGCATGGCCAATCACAGTCCCGTCCACAAGTCGCCTGGCGTCGTGATAGCAACAAGACACACACTGTGCAACCCTTGCCCGGCTTGAGGCGGAGGAGGAGGAGGGAGGAGGCACAGGCAGGCAGGCGGGTGGGGCCGGAATCTAAAAATGGCGTCAGCGCCCGGACCTTCCTCCGTAATGGGGTTCCGCAGCGTAATATGGTTTCACCGTTAGGTTCTGGCAGAACTTGCCGTGTGTAAACCGGAATGTGGGACAGCGTGGCGAGGATTGACTGTGTATACAGGTAGTTCTGCTATAGCGATAATTGTGTTCTTGTAAAATATAGGTATTTATAGAAAATACAACGTAATAGAAATAACAGGGCTTATGGAGAGAAAAATGGGTTAGGTGCAGATTACTCGAGAAATCGAAAAAGAATTTAGTAGTTAGCCTAACACAAAGAGATAACACAGTCTAAATAAATGTTACATTCATATCTAATAATGAAATCATACAGTAAATGTAACACTTTACTTCGATGGGGGAAAGATTGATTTTGAGGTTGATAAAATCGAGCTTTAAGTGTTATATCCTCTTCACGATCATCACAATTCTATCACCAAACGCTTCTTGGAGATATTCTTCTTTACCATATTCACAGTTAATACCACAAAATTGGAGAAATAGTAATCAAAAAATTACGTTATAGCAAACAAGCGTTCGTTATACAAATATTGTTCTAATTCATAAATCGTTAGAGCAAATTATTATCAAAACCACGTATAGCAGAACTCACTATATATATATATATATATATATATATATATATATATATATATATATATATATATATATATATATATATATATATATATATATATATATATATATATATATATATATATATATATATATATATATATATATATATATATATATATATATATATATATATATATATATATATATATATATATATATATATATATATATATATATATATATATATGTGTGTGTTTGCATATATATATATATATATATATATATATATATATATATATATATATATATATATATATATATATATATATATATATATATATATATATATATATATATATACACACCTAGACTGACTTACGACGGGGTTGGGGACCCAAAACAGGTCGTAAGTCCGACATAGTAAAAAAAAAAAAAAAAAAAAAAAAAAAAAAAAAAATTAATAAAAACATTAATAAAATCTACAATGAAATACAGTACAGTAAAAGTAATGAATAATGATGAATGGATACAGTACAGTGAAAGTAATAAATAAGAATGGATACAGTGTGACTGGGCACTTAACCTTTAATGTAGTCAGCTGAATGCACATGGGGCCCCATAATTTTCTAATTATACATGGAGACTACATTAACTGGAAACGTTTCGGTATAGAAAATCGTGTCATTTAAAATTTTTTTTTTTTTTTTATCTACTGTATATCTGAGGCGGTCATAGTCCCGACGGTCGTAAGTCAGAGGTCTAGGTGTGTGTATATATATATATATATATATATATATATATATATATATATATATATATATATATATACATACATACATACATACATACATACATACAGGTAGTTCTGCTATACTTGATAATTGTGTTCTTGTAAAATATCGTGTTATAGAAAACGTAATAGAAATAACAGGGCTTATGGAGAAAATAGGGTTAGGTGCAGATTACTCAAAATCGAAAAATTTAGTAGTTAGCCTAACAAGAATGCACAGTCTAAATAAATGTTACATTCATATCTAATAATGAAATCATACAGTAAATTTAACACTTTACCTTGAAAAATATGAATGTAACTTGATGGGGGAGAAGGGTGATTTTGAGGTTGATAACATAGCTTCTCTTCAAGTGTTATATCCTTTCTTTACGATAATCACCGAATTCTATCATCATTGAATGCTTTTGGAGATATTCTTCTTTACCATATTCACAGTTAATACCACAAAATTGGAGAAATAGTGCAAAAATACGTTATAGCAAAGCGTCGCGTTATACAAATATTGTTCGAATTCATAAATCGTTAAGAGCAAATTAGCGTTATCAAAACACAGCGTTATATATAGCAGAACTCACTGTACATATATATATATATATACAGTGACCCCTCGGTTAACGAAATTTCGGTTAACGAACTGCCTTTCATAAGGATCTTCAATTTGGTTAACGAACAAGAATTCGGTTAACGAATTTCTTACAAACCGACCTCAACATGTTTTCGCTTGCACTGACCGGGCAACCAGCTTTAGTATCAGTCCGCCAATACATTAATCGGTTCTCGGGCTTAAATTCCTTACTATTTTAGTAAATATCAAGAAGTTTATACTATTCAATAATTTTAAAAGTTTAATATTCAATTTTTTAGTCATTTTAACAATTATTGAACATAATTAAAGGTAAAGTGACTAGTTTAATGCGCGGCATCCAGCCTCTTAACACAGCAAACAGGCGTTAGTCTCTCTCTGTTTTCACTGGAAGTAACATCTTGCTTGAGATTCTCTTCAACTAAACGCTTTTTTTCTGTTTCCAAGCAAATTATTGGTCATTTTGAAATATATTTTACATATTGACAATATATAATGCAGTGCAGTGTTGATTTAAAGAAAATAATCTTGAAATACACCAAGAGAACTAAAATTTTATGGGTGGAATGGTGCCATGGGGTGACTTCTTTTCCACCCCAATGCCTTCTCTTCTTCCTTCTCCTCCACCCCCATTCTAATTCCTATCATCATCATCATCATCATCCAGGAGCCTTCTACATACACACCTCAAAGTAAGTGAACTTTTCTTCCATTTTTGTTGAATTTAGGAAATTTTCGGTGAGCTGGAACCAATTACCCAAAAACCCATTGAAACAATGGTTTCGGTTAACGAACGACCTTCTGGAACGGATTGAGTTCATTAACCGAGGGGTCACTGTATATATATATATATAATTTTTTTTTTTGTCTCAAGGTATGTGAAGTTTGACCCTCTTGGACACAAGCTGATAACGGGCATTGCCAACTCTCATCATGACCGCCCAACTCAAGGTTCCTGTAGGCTCGGTGGGTCGACTGGTGGACCGTTCCTTTCGCGCTCAGAGTTGATGGAGCGGGAGCAGCAACTGAACCACCGTTATAATCAGTTATCAAACCAGTACCTCAACCTTATGTCAAGATATGAAGCTCTTACCAGTAGAGCTTTCAGTAATGTGACTCGTGCAGCTAGTAGGGTGAGTTAGCTAGTAGGGTTTGTTAGCTAGTTGGGTTTGTTAGCTAGTTGGGTTTGTTAGCTAGTAGTGTTTGTTAGATAGTAGAGTGAGTTGGCTAGTTGGGTGAGTTAGCTAGTAAGGTGAGTTAAGTGTAAGGTGAGTTGGCTAGTCGGGTTTGTTAGCTAGTGGGGTTAGTTGACTATAGTATTTCCATGCTAAACTGGCCCATAAACCCCGGCCCTCTTCTATACTAATAGCTGATTGGTTCATAGAAAATTCTAACTAAATGTGTTCACAATTGGTAAGCATGCAGACCTGTTATTACCTAAAATAATGTTAAATATCTGAACTTTCAAACTGCAGATGATTTCAAAGTATTAGCACTTCAGAGCGTATGTTAGAAAATTTTTAATATTAATCATAAGAGGTCGATAAAAATATGCGCTTAAACACGCTCAGTCCGGTGGGAGGGGAGGGGGGGGATCACTCAAGGGAACCAGTCAGCTATTTGTAGCTATGGACGAGGGCCAGCTTAGCGTGGAAAGGGTATAGTAGGGTGAATTAGCTAGTAGGGTGAGTTGACTAATTGGGTGTGTTGGCTAGTAGGTTGAGTTGGCTAGTAAGGTGCAACAAATGAGGGTTTATTTCCCTTTATTTTCTTTTATTTCCTACTATGTATTTCTTTATGTTACTCTTTAATTCCCCTTTTTACTCTTAATCTTTCTTTAATATAGACAGGGGTGGAGGAGGTGGGAAGGATTGTGGTTGAGTGAGGATGGGCTGGTTTGTGCAAAGGCAGTTACCCTCAAGGCTGAAGGGGTTATGCAGAAGGAATGGAGAGAAGGGGAGAGAGAGAGAGGGGAGGGAGGAATTTTAATTGGAGGAGTGGGAGAATAAGGGATAAGTAGTGTACTTATCACTAGTTCACTAATTCATTATATGACACAAATTGTAGATACAGGAGGAAGATGTATATGAAGGAACTAACAATAGCTACTCACTACACAATATGAAAGCATTTATGATGTGGTCTTTATACCGCCAGGGACATACTCAAATGTTCACTTGGTTATTAATCACTCGGTGGGTATTTTCATTTACTTCACTTAAATCAACTTTACCCAGTAAGGGGAGGATGAATTGATGACACTTCTTAACGGCTCTTCATTTATTAACGTTATTGAGAATGGACAATTACACTTTCAAACAACCTACTCTCCTAGCTAGTTAAATAAGGTCACTTGAATCACAACACATTTTGAAAAATGGATAAATACCTAAAGTGGACTTATTACAGTACTTATTGTTACTCCATCCGCCAATAATGCCGGCCATGTTCACTGACTCACAACCTAACTAAGGCATACTGTTTGAAATCGAGCACACTTCCTACTGGGTATGAAACGTCCAGACCACACCCAATCAACTCGGCTGTGCCCATGACATCACAGTCCACGGTGATTGGCTAAGGTGTAGGTACAGAAGGTCCTACAGGCTTAGGTGGGAACACTGTACTGCCACATTGGGAGTTATGGTGGGATGCTAGGTGAGATTATGGCGCAAAATTGAATTTATAACTGTTTCTCTAAACCATGTCTTTATAATTCTACTCTAAAAACATGACATTATTACAAGGGTGAGTTAGCTAGTAGGTTGAGTTGGTTAGTAAGGTGAGTTAGCTAGTAGGGTCAGTTGGCTAGTAGGTACAGTTAGCTAGTATAGTGATCACCCAGTATGGTGAGCCAACTGGTAGGATGAGTCACTGAGTAGGGTGAGTCAGCTAGTAGGGTGAATTAGCTAGTAGGTGAGTCAGTAAGTAGGGTGAGTCAGTGAGTAGGGTGAGTCAGTGAGTAGGGTGAGTCAGTGAGTAGGGTGAGTCAGCAAGTAGGGTGAATCAGCTAGTAAGATGAGTTAACTAGTAGGGTGAGTCAGTAAGTAATGGAGAGTTAGCTATTAGGATGGGTCAGCTAGTAGGATGTTCTCAAGAAATGTACAAACATGCCTCATAATGCTCTTGCTGAGTTGCAGGAAAATAGTGCTATAAGAAACAGTTTTATAAGAGGTCAGCATAATATGGTTTCAAAAGAGTTGAGTTCATGAGAGCATTATACAAGTATTTTACCTATGAGCATGATATGGTATCTTCATTGGGTATCTTTAATAGCACTAACAATGATTGTGCACTCGAAATAGATAGAGAATAATTTTTAATGGTACTGCACATAAAAATGCATGGACACATTGAGCATGTAATTGGCAATAAAATAGGACTGAGTGTAGTTGTGATTGAAGAGCCTGAAGGCTTAGTGAGGAGGATGTGTAGAGAGGAATTGGTGTATTTTGACAGCTGAGAAATGCTTAACTAAAAACTTTTATCCTTAGTTAAATAGTCAAATATTATAAAATCTCTTTCCTGTGTACTGCAGTATAAAGAAATGAAATTGAAAATGGTTGCACTTGCTCTCTCTCAGTGTGACCAGTTGACAGAAGTGAAACGTAACTTTGATATTGATTGGTCTTGCTGACTATTTATTTTTAATAAATGTTTCTATTAGACTGAAACAGATTAAGTGATTATAGTAAGGCCTTTTGTAAAGCTTATTTGTATTTATATTCTACAAACTTGTCGCAGATTGACAGAGGTACAGATCCCATAGAGCCACCACCAGCAACTCTGGGACAACAAGCTCTACTAAACCAAGCTCGTCAGTTTGCTCGGCAAGTGACTGAAGAAAGAAGAGGAAACACTCAGAATCAGGTAATTTGGGATAGAGTATTACCATAAAATATTTATTGATGGAATTATATACTGTACTGTAATTGTGGATAAGAGTTTAAGGGATTGTGGACATGAAATAAAGTATGCTCAGAAAAAGATTCTAAAATCCTGGTTGTGTTTGTTTAAGTAACCACTTTAATCATACCCATCTACCAGAACTCCTCCCAGCCATAGTACAGTACAGTACTGTACTTTGTTGATTTACCAGACATGTAAATATATTGTTAAATTAATTGTGAGTGTTCCAGTTTCTTACCCTTATTTATGTACAAGAGGTGTGTTGGTCTGTCCATTTTCCATAATTTTTCTCCTTTTCTTCTCCATGTAGACGATAATTATAAAAGATGAAAGATGAAGCCTGTCACATCGTATTTTTAGTTTCTTTAATGTTGCTGAATTCTTGATGCTATTATAAGATTTGTCTATTCTCAGGAATCATCTAATGGTGAGAACTCAAGAGGGCGGTCATCTTGGGCTCCAGATGGTCAGTTAGGTCGTGACACTCAAGCTTCCAATGAATTGAATCTAAGACTGGAGGAGGATTATGGCTTGAGTGCTGTTCGGACTCTACGGCAAATTATTAGTGATGATAGTGCCTCTTCCTCCAGCCTAGATTCTAGTTCCTCAGCCACTAGTGGAACAAGTGGTGTATCTGAGAGAAATACTCGCCTTTCATTATTGTGGACATCAAGGCTGCATCGGCCTGGTCAGGATTCCGACAGTGCTGGAGAGGCGTCTAGTGTTCATAGTTTAGGGGACTCGGGTGCTCAGAGTGGACCCGGGGATCACAGGGCACCAATGGGGGGTGAAGAAGGGGTGTCTGGAACGCGGAGAAGTGAAAGTAGTGTTACTGAAAGAAGAAATTATCGAGGGACAGATGATAGGGCTAGTGACGATGAAGATACCTTGAGTCAAGGAACGCCTAATTTGCGATCAACAGGGTCTCAGTCAGAACGTGCAGGAATACACGTTGATTACTTCCCATGTGGCACATCAGTGATTCACTTTGGACGCTGTCGATTACAGCGAGAAAATAGGAGTGAGACCGGTTTAGGTCGTAGTCAGAGTAGTGAGGTGGATGGTGTGAGTGGTGATGGTGGTGTTAGACCTGATGGTACCCAGGATAACAGTGGTCCGGGTAGTGGAGGAAGTAGTGAAGTACATTCTAGTGGCCTAGACGTGACCTCCCAGGGAAACACAGTAAGAGACTCACAATTAAGGGAGACAGACACAAGAAGAAGTGAGAGCCCGAGTGAGCCCCAGAACAACCAAAGAGACCTTCCACCTTTGCCTCGCATTCCTCCAATATCACCCATGCCACTGACTCCTCCCAGTGACCCCAACGAGGACCTTGCCATTCCTGGACCTTCTGGACTGTCGGGAATGTCTTCCCCCTTGTCACCTTCACTGTATCCCACATCCTCTACGCTGGATCCTCAGTTTGGGGTCCAGCTCCTCAGTCGACACATTGAAAATATGCAGAGAATATGCGTGTAAATATCAAGTTTTCTTTTGTTTTATAACAGTATAGATTACTACATAGTGATAGATAATGCAAATGTCCTGTATACTAGAACTGTTTTGTGTGTGTGTGTTCAAATATGTTGCAGTTTCCCAATATTTAAATACAATATGTAATTCATTTTATTGAAAATTATCAAGATCTGCAGTTATATTGTAAATGTTACAATTATTCCTAAGTGTGATTTTATATCACTGGGAGTCACTGGAAGAAGGACTTGGAATTGCTGCATAATTGGAATGCATTGGTATTGGTCATTTACTTGACAAATGATGGTAAATGCTAACCTTTTTTAAATACAGAAGTTAGTTGTACATTATTATCTGTATCAAATTGTTTTCTAGTACACTATTAGATTAACAAATTGTAGGTGTTTTAGGGGGCGACTTCTTTTTTTCTCTTGGAGACCCTTTTTAAAGTTGAGACCAAAATTAAGGTTGATCTTTGAGAGTTGCAAAGATCCCCCCCCCCCCTCCCCCCCCAAAAAAAAATCTGAGTCAAAGGCAGAAGAAATCGTGTAAAGTAGTTCAAACTAGCTTATAGAAATGACATTAAAGTGTCATCAGTTTTCTTTTTTATTCTCTATTTCTCTTCATTGACATTCCTGAGGAAAATTACAATGTTCAATTTTGAGTACAGTTTGTGTATCAAAATATCTACAGTAAGAATTCTAACTTCATGCTGTTTGGCTGGAGAAAGCATAAGGCCAGATCAGTGTTGTTCTGTTTCATGAGGGTTGCACTTCACAATTCAGGCTACTTTATAGATGTTTGCTTGTCATGTGAGTTTGAGCTGAAGTTAGTTGTCCTATGTAACCTGATTAGCCTCACGGGTCCTTCACAAAATTATTGGATTTAAATGGATAAGAATGTTGAAATGCATTCATCATCACTTTTAGCAATATATTGTCCATCAGGAATGTGTGTCTATGTTGATGATTGTGCACTATAGCTGCAGGCAGTGGTATACTGCATGTCACTAGTCTCCTGCTGTCTTAGCCATAAAATGGTGTTTCAGGCCTCAGTTCTACATCCTTTTAAGTACAATATCTGCCAGACAATTTTGTTAACAGTTAGTGCTAAAATGTGTGAGGTGATACTTTGTTTAAAGCATCAGAGACCTTGTTAAGAGTATTAGTGTTATGGGTAGCAGAGACTCCTGCCACCACATCTGAAGAACATTTCTAAACCAGTTTCAATCGACATTTAAGAAACTAGAGGTTTCTACAGTCTTTTGTCAACTGTCTATTCATTTCTTCTCTTTTCTGGTGTGTTTTTGTTGAGTACAAAATCTAGTTTTTCAAAACTTTTGATGGAAAGGAAACAAGAAATGAAAGCTTACCTCATGTTTGTGTACAGAAACTTTTATACTGTATGGTATCTTCATTGAATTGTATTGCCAACAATTTATAAAGAAAGTTTTTTTTTATATCCTTAACATAAGGTAGCTGTACTTATGTGTTGTTTGTTTTCACTGTCTGGATCAGGAATGTGTTCTTTCTCTCCTGAGTGTTTCATGACTTGCCTTGTGCACACAGCTTAGACTATATGTTGGTGGACATCTCTACAGTTAGGCATGATTATTGTCACATTTTTCAAGACTTCACTTTTAAGTTGGTTGAGCATTATGCACTTATCAATTTATATTTAAGCATTTCACATTTTTTTTCTTTTTATACTGATACCAGTTTGCAAAATATTTGTTAATTAATGTAAGGAATTTAAATGCAGATAAATCACCAGTACAATTTTTCGTCTCCCTCAGAGCACACTTGGAAATTACTCGGCACACACACGAGATTCTGCGGTTGCAACAGATCCGCTCCATGTTGTATGACATTCAGCACCAGATCCATTCCTTACGCATGTCTGTGGACCAGTCAATGGAGGATCTCAGTGGACCTACACCAGAAATTAGTAACCCAACCAGTCACAGGTAACATTTTGTTGTGATTTTTATTTCATCAATCTCGGTTTGTCATGGTTTGTATGTGGAAAGTTATTGATTGAGGAAGATAAGATGACCCAAGATCACATTGTTTAGAGCAAATTTTGAAAGAATCATCACATCTGTCAAATAATTAATGCCAAATATTTATGTTGTACAGTATTGTCATCTATATTTTAAACCCTGTTTTCAATACTCACCATAGGAATGGAGACACTGGAGAAGATGATCCTCAGGTGCCACCCCCTCGCCTTGGACCTGGTGTCAACCCTCCATCCTTGCGTCTAATGCGGCACTGGTCTCGTACTAGCCCCAGATGTGTGGCCCGACTACAGCGGGGGCCGTTTGGCACAAGGACACGATCGCGACACTCACATAGGTTAGCTATGGCATATTTAAATACACTTTCTATTTAGTGTACAGCAGTTACACTTACTCTGTATTTTGTTTCATTTATATTTAGTTTCACTTATATCTATCTGTACAGTAGTTGCACTTAAATTTACAGCAGTATGCACTTAAAACTAGCATTTATTTCTTGTTTTAATCATTGTCGGAGTCAAGGAAATACGTTGGCAAATTGGGGGTTACACGCAAATCTGACTTGAGGTGTTTTAGTTATGCATGTTCCTGATTGATCACACAGGTATGTAAGTCTATTAGCACTGGGTAGTACTTCTGCATTTCTGATACACTTTGGCTTTCAATCCACAACAATGTTTTGTCCAAACCATCTCGCACCTCAGATAATTATTAACCTTGGAATCTGACGAGTCATCCTCACTCTCATCTTCCTTTGGTTCATCAGGTGTTTCCATAACACTTGCTACAATATCTTCTGTTGCATGGAAGTAGCCTGGGTCATCAGCATCCACAAGCAACCACTCGGTAATTTCGTCTTCTGCTACATCCTTCTAACCACCTCTTATGTGCAAGGTTAATAAAATTATCCACTCCAAAACCAAGGAAGTCCACCTCAACATCAGTGCCCTCTATCAACATTTTCCATGTATTAGACAAAATAGACACAGGCTCTTGTTGCCAACCTTCAGCCTGTCAATTGTTTTTTTCCGATACAGTTGCTTGCAGGACTCAATCATATCCTGATCCATAGGTTGTAACACAGAAGTTGTGTTTGCAGGCAGGAACATCACTTTATTTTTATCCTCCACGTTAGGGTGTGCAAGAGTAGCGTGTCTCACATTCTCATGCTCAATTTTCAGATTATCCATCTGGAACTTAACCACTTCAGGTATAAAGTGCTTATGGAACCATGACCTATACTGTCTATGTTCCCAGTGAACCAAGCATTCTTATTATCTTTGTAATGCACAGGGAGTTGTCCTTGATATTTTTGACAGCACGGGGATACTTAGCTTTATCAATGATCACTGGTTAAGCGTACAGTATGGCTACCATCTGTATTGGTACACAACATTGCAGAAATGCAATCCTTCACAGACTTCCTACCATCAACATGAGCCTCTAGCCTGTATGCCTTTGAAACATTGATATTGAAACAGTTTATTTAGCCAGAAAAATACAGATACAGAGTTGATAATAGAAACAATATTAAAATGGCTGAGCCAGTTGAGAGCCTGAGCTTTCTTCAAGGCACTTGATATATGCTGTACATTCATCTCAAGGAAGTATTATGTCACATTTAGTATCATCTGGAATAGTACACGTAACATGGTGGTAGTAAGAACATATCAGAATGTTACCACGGTTATCACTTATTTATTTTATTTTATGATTTTTTTTTTACAATTATATTATAAGTATATACATATGTTACATTGGTGTTGATATACATAAATATGGTAAGGGAGGGAAGCAGTACAACATGGGTTGTATTATGGTGGAACAAGAGGACAAAGCTGTCAGTATCATGTCTAGTCGACAACTTCTATAATTATTGCAATGTTAGTTTCTATCTATCAACATGACAATCTATGATATAATGGTGTTGGTGGTACAATAAAAGCAGGAATATATAGTAGGTGTTACAAGGTTATTAATACTTGGACAATAAATATTTTTTAAGAGATGATTTAAAGGAAGGGAGCTTAGTCTTTGCTCGGATGGGTGGGGGTAAGTTGTTCTACACCTTCACACCGTGATATTTTATGGTCTGGGACTGAGAGGAGCACATGGAGGGTGGTCTTAGTAGTTCTTGGTACCTTAAATTGTATCTCTGGTTATTCCGGAACTGGAAATAATTATTGTCAATCAAGTGAGTGACATATTTGTAAACAAATAGGGCACAGCAGTAGGTGTTAATATCATCGAATTTTAAAATTTTTAATTTAGCAAATTGTTCGTTAGTGTCATCAGTTTTTTCAAGTAGGTCATAGTCCACACAACTCTCTTCTGTTCAGTAATCAGGGGATGTTTTTTTGAAGAGCCAGAGGCCCCCCCATTAGATCATAATAGATTTCTTTTATTGCTGCAAGAGTGAGTGACTGACAAGTGTGATACAGGATACAGTAGGGTCGGGAAATATCGCTAGATAGGGTCCAAGGATGTTCGCTATATACTTAATCGTGATACATAATTACATGTAATCAATGGGGAAAATAGGGTTAAGTTCTGGAGGCCAATAAATGTGACTAAACTTGACATAAAATGGCATTGACTAAATTTAGCAGAATATAAATTACATTGCTGGAATCCTTGCAAGACAGTGAATAATTTGAATACAGACATCATGTATTTTGCACAAGAGATAAATTATAAAAAAAAATTGTCTATTGCAAACTAGCATGTTTATACTCAAATTAATCCCTATCTTACAAGAATTCCAGCAATGCTTATTATATTCTCTTAAGTCAATTCTTGACATTTTATAAGATAAAAACATAAACTCCTCCTATATGAGAGAGAAATAGATACCACTAGGTAACCGTTGTCTGCGCTCCGGCTCAGCTGTCATAATAAATCAACTCCTCTCCGACTTCCGGTAAGGGTGACTGTGGTTTTTAGCTTAAAGCTTTAATCTTATAAAATGTCAGACTAAAATTAGCAAAATGTAAATTGCATTGCTGGAATCCTTGCAAGACTGCAAATACAGGTTGTACTTCTCTAGTCCGGCAACCTCGGGACCTGACCGGTGCTGGACCATGGAAATTGCCGGACCATGGAAATTCACCCTTTTCCTGGATAAATAGTGACTTGTGTTTATGCTTGGAAGCACTAGCACCACTTTCTCTGCATCATGGTCTCTTTGAAGACATATTGGAGAGTTAAATGTCATATAGTAGCTTCTCAAAATTCGCGAGTTTTTAATTCAACGTATTTTATTGTAACAAAAAAAAAAATGACGGCGGAAACTTGAATTTTGACGGGTTTGAACGGCCCGCCAACGTGCAGACGACGTGCATAATCGTGTAAACAGCGTCATTTCTCTTATGTACAAAAGATTCATTATTGTTTATTACTGAATGTCTTTTTTATTGAATTAATGTTTGTGTGCAAAATGAGCAATACAATTCATTAATAATACGTAGAATATTAAAACACACGAGGAAATGACACAGCATTGTTTTCGTTGATTACAAAACCAGTGACTGACTGGTTCTACATATAAAACTGAAGAAAATAAGACCTTGGTTGTAGCTGTAGTAAAATTAATATGGTTGTTTAAGTAATGTTATTTAATGTTAATAAATGGAACAATAGAAGTAGCTAACGATAATGGTAAAGAAAAAAGAGAGAACGCGTATGTAAGTGCGCACACGTGAAAACATATCGTCATTACTTTACTTAAGAATATGAAAGCAACACTTATTTACTGTTCATATATATTTTAATTAATGTTTCTGAATTTGTTTTTATTGAATTAATGTTTGTGTGTGCAAAATTAACAATACAATTTATTAATAATACGTGGAATATTAGAGGAGACGAGACGGCTGCCGGCATTGCTTACGTTAAAGCTTACAAAACCAGTGACTGATTGGTTCTCCATATAAAACTGAAGAAAATAAGGCCCTGATTGTAGCTGTAGTAAAATTAATGTAAAAAAAATTAATATGGTTGTTTGAAGTACCTGTAATGTTATTTAATGTTAATAAATGGAACAATATAAGTAGCTAACCACTAATGGTAAAAACAAAATGTGAGACTGCGCGTACAGTCAGTTCGGCTATAACGCGATAGTTGTGTTCTTGTGAAACATCGTCTTATAGAAATTCGCGTAATAGAAATAACAGGGCTTATGGAGAAAATGGGGTTACGTGCAGATTACTCGAAATCGAAAAAAATTTCGTAGTTAGCCTAACATAAAGGATAGCACAGTCTAAATAAATGTTATATTCATATCTAATAATGAAATCATACAGTAAATGTTGCACTTTACCTTGAAAAAATATGAATATAACTTGATGGGGGAGAAGGTTGATGTTGAGGTTGAGGAGTCATGCAGACAGGATTTGACAGTTGTCATCGTCATCATCAGTATCAGGTGCAGTTTTTCTTTAGGTCCTCATATAATGATAAGGCTTTCTCTTTAATGGTGAGGAAGCTGGTCCCAGATTGCTTTTTCGTTTGATCTTCTATCCAAACACTTAGAAGCCATTCCATCTCCTCAAGTTCCTTTGGCCGTGATCTCACACTTTTGCTAGCACTCAAGGTTTTTCCAGCATACTGCTTGCTTTAATCTTTGCTGCATTGTCTCTAATGGTGCATAAAGTAGATTCTTTTATTCCCGTTGCATGCACAATATCACATGTTCTTTCCTTATTTTCAAAACAATTGATAACATCAAGCTTTTCTTCAAGTGTTATAGCCTTTCTTTTACGATCACCACCGGAAATGCGATCACCAGAACACTTCCCGGAGATATTCTTCTTTTCCATAGTCACAAAATTGGAGAAATAGTAATCAGAAATCACTGAGGACACTTAAAAACTTCACACATGTTTCAAACTGATCTTGTGGAGTAAACAGAGCGCGCAGGTCTAAAACACTACGTATTTTGTTTTTCTCTCTTATTTAAAATTTTACAATTTACATATACTGTACAGGTATACTGTATACATAAATATTACATAAATTATTTCTGCAATGGTTCACCAAAAAAACACATAAATCAATTGAACATGTGATGTCGAACGTGAACTGTAAACACTGCATAACCCCGCGCCAAGCGACAGCACTGTACAGTACACTTTAACACTTTAAACGCTACATATCTAGTTTTTCTCTTTTATTTTAATTTTTACAATTTACATATATATATATATATATATATATATATATATATATATATATATATATATATATATATATATATATATATATATATATATATATATATATATATATATATATATATATATATATAAATTGTAATTTACATATTATTCATATTATGCT